TATATAATTTTTAAAAAAATTATTTTTTATTATTAATTCTAGAAAATAAAAAGTTTTTTTTAAAAAATTAAATATAAAATAATCTTCTAATTCTTTATAATATATATAATCTTAAGATTTAGAAAAAAAAAATCTAATTTAAAAAATTTATCTTAGTTTAAGTATTATTATAATTTATAAAAATCTAAAAAATAAAAAAAAAAGACTTAATAAAATTTTTTAAAAATAAATTAAATAATTATAATTAATTTATAATTCTAAAGCTATTTTATAAATAATAAATATAAAAAAATAAAAGCAAAAAACTCTATAAAAATAATTTATTTTATTTTAAAATATAATTTTATATAAATATAATCTATTATATTTTAATATATAATTAATATATTTATTATATTTTATTTATTTTAGTAAATTTAATAAATAGAAATTTATATCTAAAATCTAGAGTTATAGAATAGTTTCTTCTTTTAAATAAAATTATTTAAAATATAATAAACTAAAGTAAAAAATAGATTTTTATAAAAAAAATCTATAAAATATTTTTATAGAATCTTTTATAAGAGCTGTAGTATTATAATATAAATTTAATATATTTTATTTATTTTATTTATTTATTTAATTTATTTAATCTGCTTTATTCTAATAATCTAATTATTTATAATCTTTTTAACTGTCTGTCTGTTTCTAATTTTATTAATAATTATTTAAATTATATTTTATCTATAAATCTAAGAATAGTCTAATTTAGAAAAAATAATAGAATAGAAGTAATATATTTATTTTTAATATTTTAATTAATAATTAATATATAGTTTTTCTAGTATTCTATATAATATAATTAAGATATATAACTAAAATAAAATAATAATTATATATTTTATATATATTTCTTATTATAAGAATAATAATTTTATAAAAAGCTGAATTTTATTAATATAACTAGAGATTTCTTATTATTTCTAATAAATAATAATAAAAAAAATACTATTTTTTTTAATTATATTTTTTTAATTTAGAAAGCTTTTTTTATATATTTTTAAATAATAATAAAAATAGCCAGATTAATAATTATTTAATCTAAATATATCTTAATTATATTAGAGCTTAAAAAAATATAGTAAATAAATCTTAATATTAAAAATAATTAAAAAAATTAATTATCTAATTTTTAATTATATTATAATTAGATATAAAGATTTTCTTAATCTAATTAGAACCTGGTGATTAGATATAAAAATTTTAATTAATCTGATCTGATCTGACTGTTAGCCACTCTAATAAATATTATAAAATAAATAGAATAAACTTATAAAAGTATTTTCTTATAAAAAAATAATTATAAATATTATTTAAAATCTTATTAATTTTATAGAGTTAAAATAAATTCTTAAAAATTTTAATTAAATAAAAAAATTATTTTAATAAAAGAAATATCTAAAAATTAGCTATAAATCTATATTATTTATAATTTTATAAAAGGTTTATTTATAAGTATAATTTTTATTTAAAAAATAAAAAAAAGATAATATAATAAAATAATAACAAAAATTATTTATAAAACTTTTTATTTAATTATAATTTAAAATATAAGATATAATAAATACTTATAAAAATAAAAATAAATAGATTAATTATTTAATTTATAAAAAATAGATTTTATAATTAATCTAAATATAATTATTATATCTCTATCTATAATTATTACTAATATATATTATAAATATTCTTAAGTCTAAGAAATTATAATATATATTATATATTTAATTAGAAAAAACATTAATTAATTTTAATTATAAAAAAAGTCTTATAGAGCTAGACTTAGATTTTTAATTAATAATAATTATTAAATTTAATAAAAAAAATAGATTTTACTATTAGCTGTATAATTTAATATTTTTTTAATTAAATAAAGATTATAATTTTATTTAAAAAGAAAGATCTAATTAGAGTGGCTAACAGCCAGATCAGATTAGGTTAATTAGAATTTTTATATCTGACTATCAGATTATAATTAGATTAAGAAAACTTTTATATCTGATTATAATATAGCTAAAAAATTAGATAATTAATTATTTTAATTATTTTTAATATTAAGATTTATTTATTATATTTTTTTAAGTTCTAATATAATTAAGATATATTTAGATTAAAAAATTATTAATCTAATTATTTTTATTATTATTTAAAAATATAAAAAAAAAGCTTTTTAAATTAAAAAAATATAATTAAAAAAATTAGTATCTTTTTTATTATTATTTATTAAAAATAATAAGAAAATTCTAATTATATTAATAAAATTCAGCTTTTTATAAAATTATTATTCTTATAATAAAAAATATATATAAAAATATTTAATTACTACTTTATTTTAGCTATATATTTTAATTATATTATAAAATACTAGAAAAACTATATATTAATTATTAATTAAAATATTAAGAATAAATATACTGCTTTTATTTTATTATTTCTTTTTTAATTTAGCTTAGATAATTTATTATATTCTTATTTTTTATTTAAAAGAGCTGAATTATTTATATTAGAGATTAAACTTTTATATAATATTATTTACTTAGATATTTTTAATAATTATATTTTTTAATAATTATTTAACCAAATATTACATATTATATATTAAAAAACAGACTAATATCTAATTCTTAGTCTAACTAAATAATAGAAATAATAATTTTAATTAAATACTTTTTTATAACTAATTTTCTGAATTCTTTACTAGCTATTAGATTAGATTATTCTTAGATTTATAAATAAGATATAGCTTAAAGAGCTATTAATAAAATTAGAAATAAATAAATAATTAAAAAAATTATAAATTATATATAGAATAGTTAGAAAGAATAATTAGATTATTAAAATAAAGTAAATTAAATAGATTAAACAGATTAAATAGATTAAATAAATAAAATAAATAAAATAAATAAAATAAATAAAATAAATAAAATAAATAAATAAATAAAATAAATAAAATAAATAAAATAAATAAAATAAATAAAATAAATAAAATAAATAAAATAAATAAAATAAATAAAATAAATAAAATCAATAAATAAATAAAATAAATAAATAAATAAATAAAATAAATAAAATAAATAAAATAAATAAAATAAATAAAATAAATAAAATAAATAAAATAAATAAATAAAATATATAAAATATATTAAATTTATATCAAAACATTATAGCTCTTATAAAAGATTTTATAAAAAGTTTTTTATAGATTCTTTTTATAAAGATTTATTTTTTATTTTAATTTATTATATCTTAAGCAGTTTTATTTAAAAAAGGAAATTATTTTATAATTTTAAATTCTAAATATAAATTTCTGTTTATTAGATTTATTAAAATAAATAAAATATAGTAAGTATCTTAGCTATATATTAAAATATAATAAATTATATTTATATAAAATATATTTTAAAATAAAATAAACTATTTTTATAGAGCTTTTTATTTTTATTTTTTATATTTATTATATATAAAATAGCTTCAGAATTATAAATTAATTATAATTATTTAATTTATTTTTAAAAATAATATTAAGTTTTTTTTTATTTTTTAGATTTTTATATATTATAATAATATTTAAACTAAGATAAATATTTTAAATCAGATCTTTTCTTTTTTCTTAAATCTTAAGATTATATATATTATAAAAAATTAAAAGATTATTTTATATTTAGCTCTTTAAGAAAAACTTATTATTTTTTAAAATTAATAATAAAAAATAATCTTTTTTAAAGATTATATATAAACTTAAAAACTATTATTTTATTTTAATTAAAAAAAATTATTAAGAACTTTTCTTAAGAAGTAAGAACTTTTCTTAAGAAGACTTTATTGAACTTTTACTTTCTTATATAAATTAGGTGCAAAAGTGAGGTGAAAGTGAGAGAAAGATAAGAGAAGTAAAAAATAAGAAAAATCAAAGATTAGATAATTAAGTAAGAAATTTTCTCTAATCTCTTAAAAAGACTTCACTGAACTCTTACTTTCTTATATAAATTAGATATAAAAATAAGATAAAAGTGAGATAAAGATAAAAGAAAGATAAGAGAAAGATAAAAGAAATAATAAAAAAAATTAAAGATTAGATAAATAAAAAAAGACTAAAAGCTGATTCAACTTGATTAAAACTTATTAAAAAACTAATTAAAAACTAAGAGATCTTTTTTATTTATATTTATAGCTAATTGACTATCAAAAGCATATAAAAATATATAAAATTATATAAAAATTATATAAAAATTATATAAATAAAATAGGATCAAGAATAATAGAACCAGTGATTAAATAAAGACTAGAATAATTAATAAAAATAAGATCTCTTACTTTGCTGCGGGGTAGGCAGAACTTAAAATTATTAATCTATTAACTAATAATCTAAGACAGCTAACTGATCTGAGACTGTAAATTAATAAGTCTTAAACAGCAAACTAGTGAGTCTGTCTATATTATTAATATACTCCTGCAGTTTTAATAAGATAAAATATTAAAAAAACTAGAGTAAACAAATTACTAAAAATAGAAAATAATAATAATAGAATTTAATAAATTATTATATTTAACTATTTGATAAATTAAGTATATTTCTAATTAAGAAACTGCTTAGTCAGACTATCTGCTTGTATTTTATTAATAGATATCTATTAAATATTAATTATTTTATTCAGGGCTTCTTATCTTAGCTAATAATTAGTAATATTAATATATTTTAGACTAGTCTAAAATAGAAAATTCTTATCAGTAAGAATTTTAACTGTTTGATAATTATTATATAATATAGAGAAGTATTGATTAGGATTAAACTCTATTTATTTAAAAAATCTTCTTTATTAAAGAAGTTACTTAACTATAGTAGTTAGGACTAATAATTTAGCTTCAGTAGTTAAAAAAATTATATAATATTATTTTTTACTTAGCTAATTAATAGAACTATTAAATAAATAAATAATATACTCTATTAAATTAGTATAATCTTAATTATCAGCAAAACTAGTATCACTGGCCATATAAAATAAAATAGAGCTAGGGCTAAATTTAATAGCCAAGTTCTTTATTTCTTCTAAATAAAAGATTAAATAATCCACAGCCCTGAGATATTTAGGGCTTGGATTAATTAAATATTCTAAAATTAACTGATATAATTTAGTAATATCAGGTCTAGTCTAAACTATAGAATATAGAACTGATTCTATTTTCTGCTGAAATTTATAAATTTAATTAGTAGTGATCTGATAGAATAGATTCTTTACTAATTTCTTACTTAAAAATAGGGATTTAGAGCTTTTTCTTTGCTCTAAATTAAATTTATTAATAATCTTATTAATATAGTTTAATTATTAAATCTATAACTTTCTATTTGGGCGATTATATAAGATTTAAATATTAAAAAATAAATTAATCTCTCTAAGATCTTTGAATTTAAATAATATTATTAATTCTTACTTGAATTTATTAAATTTTTAATAATTTAATTTATAAAACACATAAATTATATTATTCACAAAAATTATTAAAATTATAAATTTATTAATAAAGATATATTAATCTTTCTGAATAGGCTTTAGCCCTAGAGCTATTAGTCTCTGTTTCAGGATATTTTATCAAAGAAATAATAAATATCTTAATTTATATAGGGCTTTCTGTAATAGAAAAACTGTTTATTTATTTTCTAATTCAGAAATTAGACTTATATAGATTTTCTTCTTAATAAGACTATTAAGAAAGGCGGTGATTATATCCAGTTAGTTGATTTCCAGATCAAACGCGGCAATTAGGGCCAAAAGAATCCGCATGGATCTGGCCGCAAGGGTGCTAGCGCGTGTTTCCAACCAATCAGGTGTCTGCAAATAATGGTAATACTTCAGCTCCATTAGTTTCATGAATTAAACATGCGTTCCAAGTATTTAGGGCTTCCAATTGATTGATTTCAGTTTTGGCAGCCTGAGTAAATTGGCTTGAAAACATGTAATTTCTTATTTCTCGCCAGTTGATAGGCGGAGGTGGAAGTGATAAGAAATTAATATAGAGAATTTCACCCTTATTAATATAATTAATTATTATTTAAATAACTTAAAGAGTAAGCCTAGCTCTTTTAGAATCAGAATTAGATAATTCTGAGCGGGTCTGTTTCAGATCTCTGATTAATTTAATATCTAAGAACTCAGTTTTATTAATCAGCTTATTAATATTTGAATTATTAATAAGAACCTGAGACGGTGAAGAAGATAGATTAGATAATAAAGACAGTAAATCTCTTATAATTATATTATTATTTTATAAGATATTTAACTGATTGTTTGAGACTGCCAACTGGCTTGGTTCAGCAGCCAACTGATCTTGTTCTAATTAATTATCTAATAAAGATTTAGATATTTATTTTAATATTTCTGAATTAGAAAGATTCTTATCTGTATCAGATTCTTCAGATTCTTCAGAAATAGAGATATCTGATTATTCTAATTAAATAAAATCAACTAATTTAATTATTTCTTGCTTTGTTAATAGATTTCCTAATTTAGTATATTATTTATAATTAAAATTTTTATTAAAAATAATATTACAAGCCGAAATTACTCTTTTAAGAATAGATATCCAGATCTGTTAAATATTAGTTATCTAATAGCTAATCAGATAACTAATTAGAGCTCTGGATTCTAGTTTATCTTTTTTAGATAAGTTACTGATTCGGGTATAGATATATAATTTATACTTTCTTAAATAGAAAATATCTAATTTCTTAGATAACTATAAAAGACTTTTCCAGACAGTTTTATATAATATTTTCTAATTTAGTTGTTTATTTAATATTCTATTTAGAATAAAAATAGCTGAATCTATTATTTCAGGCCATAAAAATATAAAAAGCCCTGAATTAATTAATAAATTTCTTATTTTAAAAATAATTAGAGCTTCAGATTTTTTTATATATAGATTTTGCTCTGGCTGATAAACTAGTAAATAATTAATTAGTAAATCTTTGATACTAGCCTAAATTAAAAAAATATCAAGATTTTAGTTCTGATCAGAATAAAATCTCTTGAATATTATCTTAAACTAATTAATAATTAATTAAATTATATTAATAATTAATTCTGAAATATCTGATTTGGAAGTTAGAGCTTGCCCTAGATAAAATTTTGAATAGAAATAATAAAGATAGCTGATATATTTTTATTTATTAATTTTATTTATTATATAAATCAAGTTCTAATAAATTAATTTAAATATCTAATTTTCTTCTTTGAATTTTTGTCTTGAAATTTATCTTTCTGATTAACTAATTTTATATATAAAATATTTTTTATTTTAGCTTAGCTTATCTGAGCTAGTCTATTTTAATAAATCAGTGATATTAATTTTTTGAACTGAATTACTTAAATAATTTAAGACTTTTTTATCAGAGTATTTTAATTTTTTATATTATTCTTTGACTGTTTCAGGTGTTATATATTAATATTCTAAGAGTTTAATTAGCTTGAGACCGCGAATTAATAAGTCTAAGATAGCTAACTAACTTGATTTAATAATAATAATTATAGTAAAACTAGATTTTTATTTTTATTAAATATAATATATTTCTCTGATTTTCTTAATTTAATATAGTAAAATTCTATCTGCTTATTTAAGAAATTTATCTTTTTTATTTAAAAATAGTCTCTTTTTATCAGCTTTTATAGCTGAGAGAATATTTATATAAAATTAAAAAATATAGATTACTTCTTTAAGTTTAAAATATAGATCTTTTCTATTTAAATAAATAAGATAAAAAATAACTATTCTATAGTTTTAAATAACTGAGGCAGTGTCTTCTATTCTTATTAATCTACTTTTATTTATAATAGAAGTATAATTAATAAAGAAATTCAAAGAATTATAGATATAATTATCTAAAGCAGTATTAAAAGTCTATTAAAATAAATAAAATATTAATAATTATTCTAAATAGACAGTTTATTAACTTATTACTAAGAAGATCTTTTCTGCCTTGACAGTTATTTTATTATTTTTATTAAATAAAAATAATATTTAGTAAGTCTGGCAGTGTTATTTAAAGAAATATCTTAATTTAAAACTATTTCTAAAAATATTTTTAAAATAGTTTAAGATTTCAGTCTCAGGCTTCTATTCAGAATTTCTTAGTTTCTTATTAATATAGAAATAATTATTAAAATTATAAAATCTATTATTTTTATCTGATTTATATAGACAGGGCTGATTCTTAAATCTTTATTTTTTTATTAATATTTTACTGTTTTAGAAAGTTTGTTTTAACTCAGTTATTAAAATAGTTGTTAAAACAGTTAATTTAGAATTATTTAAAAGATCTTAAAAGAAGATATAGCTGATTCTACTATTATTATTATTAACTAATTTAATAGATTATCTAATTTAAGAATTTAGATAAATTTAATTATATATTCTTTATATTATCTTAAGAAACTCAGATAGTTTTTTCTGATTATTCTTATTATTAATTAATTTTAATTATTAAATTATTATAAAATTATCTATTATTTCCTGAACTGATTCAAGAAAATTATAGATTATTTAAATAAAACTAGTAATCTTGCTTAATTTCAGCTTTACTGCTTCTGAATAAATAAGCTTTTATTAAATTATATAATTCTTAATAGAACTCTTTATTTCTGAGAATTATAGCTTATAATATTTATTAATAACTTTTTTTATACAGAACTGATTAATAGAGGCAATTCTTTTTTTTAGAACTTATAAAATTTAATAAAATCTTTTTAAATTAAGTATAGCATGCTGATTTTGCTTATTTAATATAAAATTTATTAATAAACTTAAAGAGACTAGTTCAGAGATGATTTTCTTTTATTTCTTAAATTAATAATTAAATTAATTTATAATTTCTTGATATAGAAGGCGGTCTGATTCACTAAGATTTATTATTAAAATAGTATAATAATTAAAGTCTAAAATAAATATAGTAACTGGCTTGATAAAATAATTAAGTTTCTTAGATAAATCTGGATTTATATATTCTCAGATATTCTTATTAATAATAAATAATTAAATTTGATTAATCCAAAGAAATCAATCAGATTAATTATTAAAAATAATAGAAATTTTTTTAAATTACTGATTTTGAGATATAATAAAGAAATAGTTAAAAAAATTTAAAAATTTAGATAAATCTTATTTTTTATTTAAAAATTTTATAATTTCTTATATAAATTTTAAGTCAGAGATAAAGTAAAAATAAGAGAAATAAAAGAATATAAAAAGTCTTAGAGATATTAATAAAGAATTAATATAAGAGTATAATCGGGCTTATAACTAAGAACTTTTCTTAAGAAGTAAGAACTTTTCTTAAGAAGACTTTATTAAACTTTTACTTTCTTATATAAATTAAATACAAAAGTGAGATAAAAGTAAGAGAAAGATAAGAGAAGTAAAAAATAAAAAAAATTAAAAATCAGATAATTAAATAAGAAATTTTCTCTAATCTTTTAGAAAGACTTTACTAAACTCTTACTTTCTTATATAAATTAGATACAAAAGTAAGATGAAAGTGAGATAAAGATAAAAGAAAGATAAGAGAAAGATAAAAAAAATAATAAAAAGAATTAAAGATTAGATAAATAAGAAAAAGACTAAAAACTGATTCAACTTGATTAAAACTTGTTAAAAAACTGATTAAAAACTAAGAGATCTTTTTTATTTATATTTATAGTCAATTGGCTATCAAAAGCATATAAAAACATATAAAATTATATAAAAATCATATAAAAATTATATAAATAGAACAGGGCCAAGAATAATAGAACCAATGATTAAATAGGGGCTAGAATAATTAATAAAAATAAGATCTCTTACTCCACTGCGGGGTAGGCAGAACTTGGAATTATCAGTCTGTCAACTAGTAATCTAAGGCAGTTAACTGGCCTGAGGCCGCAAACTGGTGAGCCTTAGGCAGCGAACTGGCGAGTCTGCCCATATTGTTGACAATTATTAATAATATAAGATAGTTTTTTAAAAAATATATTATTCTTTATTTTTAATAAAATCTTTTATATTTATTATATTATATATCTTTATATCTTATAATATTTAAAAATTAAAAACTTAAAAACCAGTTTTTTAAATTAGTATCTTTATAAAAATTATAAGAAGAAATTATTATTAATTATATTTA